GGTCTTCCACTGCTTCCACAAGCATCAGGCTTCCTTGTGGATATTCTTTTATTCTATCCCAAATTATCTTCTCTGACCTGTAGTTGATTTGAGTGCTGTGACATGCAGATCAACGGATGTTGCAACACTTACCGGTAATCTGGCCTTTGTTGTTTCCAATCGTCATTTTATCGAAGTTAACTACACACTTCCTCGGTAGTAAATAGTCCAATCCTAATATGCATTGATCTTCAATGTCAGCCAAGTATACTTTCTGTCTGTTTTTCATGTCCATGAGCTCGATAGTTATCCACACTGGTTCCCACAACCTTGCAGAATGTCCTGTCACACCACAGAGCTTCTGTACAGCTTCTGGTACTCCTTTGTTATCCAGAACCTTAATGCTCACAAGGGTTTGCTGAGATACAGAATCTATGACAAAGTTGAACTTTTCGCAATCCAGCTTCCCTGTCACATAGATACTATGTGTGCTTGCCATTTTACACTTAGCTGTTGGGACTTTCACGATGGAGGTTGGTGGGCGTCCCTCAACATCAACCACTACTAGTTTCCCGAAGCTGACTTGTTGGTAGTATTCTTCTTACACTGGCTTCTTACATGTCTTGCTCTCCACAGTTCCAACAACCTTTCTTAGTAGCAGCCTTTCCTGCCGTGGAATCTTCCCTGTGTTGAAGTTGCCGGCATTGAGCTCTCCAGGTTATTACAGTGCCAGCAAAGTCCCTCAAACTTCTCTGAAAGCTGCCCTTTTCTGGCCTTGAATCCTGATGACTGTACCAACCTTGGTACCTCTGTGCTGGACTTAATGTATGATTCGAATTTGGGAGTTCTGGCCATTGCATCCTGCATAGTAGAGGGGTGTTCTTGCTTTACTTGTATCGTCAGTTGTGGACTGTCCAAGGCATCTACAAACTGATCCATCAACAACAGCTTGGGAGCATCGGGTGGTGCAGTTAGGTAAGGCCTTGTGTGCCATACTTTCCAAATCCTGTGCCAGCTCTTGCAGGCTCTCCCCTTTAGCATGGACTCTAGTCCTAAACCTAGCCCTGTAGACTTTGGACTGATTTTGAGTTCCATACCTGAGTTCTAGAGCAGCTACCGGTGCTCTATAGTTGTGCCTGTCGTCTGCTGACAACTGTCCAAGTATTTCCAGTGGTTGTCCCTTCAAGCTCATTGCCAGGTACACTGCCTTGTGCTTTTCTGTCCATCCATTCATTTCTGCCAGGTGCTCAAAATGTGCTCTACATGCTTCCCATGGTGCCTTCCCATCGAATTCCTGTGGCTTCCTTTGTTCTTGATCACCCCTATTGCTGACACTCGTGTCTGGAATGTGACTTCTGGCAGGACTGAAGATGTCTGCATTAAGGTTTAGCTGCGGGGTCTGGAAGGGGTTTCCCATTGTCTGGGGCTGATTAGGTCGATGGCTAATATATCCTCTTTGTGTAAAAGACAGTAAATCATCCTTTACTGTATTTAATTCACTTTGAAATTTAGTAATGTTTTCAATTTGTGTACTTGGCTTTCTCTCAATTGTTAGAGGTGTTACGACAGCGGGGGTCAAGTGACGCTAGTAACCACGTCATATTCTCGAAGGTTCGTGAAGTCTCGAGAGGCTACTAGATATGCGGTAGTTTTGTATATATAAGACTGGTAAGAACTGACGGCAACAATGTAAAGTAACGAATGTACTTGAACTGGGGACAGAGAGAGACATATTGTTGAGTCGAGTACGTGAGGCATTCGTTGTGAATTATAGCGTTTGTTATAGCGTGACTGTGAAAATTAAGTGTATTACAAAGTTGTATTCAGAAAGAATAAACCAGTTTTATTTAAGAAAGTACTTGTATCGCTAAAGTTTCTTCGGAAAGAATTTTTACGGAAAATTAACTAACGACCAGAGACGTAACAGAGGCTTTCTTCTTGTTAATTTTCTTTCTCCTCCATCCACTGCTGTAGTCTCTTTTCTTGTTTCTTTTCACGTTCTTCTTGTGTTTTTTTCTTCCTCCAACAACTGTTGTAATCTCTCTTCTTGTTTATTTTGCTGTTCAGTCTGCCATTGTTGCAAGTTACCTTGCCATTGCTGTAATCTATCTTCTTGTTTATTTTCTCTTTCTACTTGTTTCTTTTCTTTTTCCTCCAACAACTGCTGTAATCTTTCTTCTTGTTTATTTTGCTGTTCGAGCTGCCACTGTTGCAGGTTTTCTTGCAACTGCTGTTGTCTCTCTTGTTGTTTCTTTTCTTTTTCCTCCAACAACTGCTGTAATCTCTCTTGTTTCTTTTGCTGTTCTTGTATTGCTGCCATCAAATCTGCTAAGCTGTAGTTTGTTTTGCCACTTCTTGTTTCCATTTTTGTTTTCTTTTCTGTCCAACTCTCTGACACCAATTTGTTACCTCTCTGGTCGTTGGTTAGTTTTCCGTAGAATTCTTTCCAAAAAACTTATCGATACAAGACCTTTCTTAATTAAAACTAGTTTATTATTTCTCAATTCAACTTTGCAATACACTTAATTTTCACAGTCACTTCAACCTAAACACACGCTATAATTCACAACGAACGATTCACGCATTTACTACCGCGCTTGACTCAATTGTCTGTCTCTATTTCTTCAATCTGCAATTATTCATATATATATATATATATGCCGCACTTCTCGCCGGTCTTATATATACGAAATAGAGGGCGTCTGGAGAACACTCGAGGCTTCATGAACGGACATGATCTTTCTAGAATCTGATGACGTGTTACTAACATCATGTGACTTCCGCTGTCGTAACAATAATAATGCTCCTGCTACACAGGCATCAACTATCATTCCTACTAAATATTTTTGCTCTTAACCATTGTCTTATAGACTTCCTTTGAAATGACTCTATTACATTTGTAAACAATTACCTGACCTATCATATAATTAAGATATTATGCAAATGCAAGTAATTGTAGTGGTACAAGTAAAGTAACTGGACAGTGTACATAAATAAAAGAAAGAAACTTTTACTGACATAGTCAAAATTAAAAAGCGGGGTGATTTTATTTAAAGACAGTAGCAGAATTCTTTATTTTAAAGATAAGTATTTAATGCGTATAATTTATTTCAGGCACACTAATGACCTTATCATGGCTGGGACTGATCAGCTCAGGAATTATGTTGGCCAGATACTACAAACTATCATGGGAAGGCAGGACTCTTTGTAATGTCAAGATCTGGTTTGCTGTAAGTTTATGCAATGCTTTTATCTACTGAGTTAGTTTATAAAGCTGATTTTATTTCAACCTCAACTAATCTCCACTTGGATAAGAAAAGTTTATGACTAAAAAATGACAAAAATCACTGGTTTTTAACATACTTGGCCTTATAAAAAGCAAACAAGATTATTAAATTATGTCTTTAAACAATACTGATATGTGGTAAACTTTAATTTGGATATCTTTTGAATGATTTCAAAACTTATGTAAAGCAATTATTGTTTTGTAGCAAAAAATGCTTATTTACTCTCACAAAACCTTTTAAGACAGACATGATGATTTAAAGAACTTTTATAAAAAAGTTTATTATTTTCATTTGAAAGAAAAGGCCCATCATGGTGCTAAAACATTAAATAACCATAATGAAGCATTGGTTGAACTCTAACTCTTTGTAAACCTTTATCACACATAAATTATCCTTTGCTCACTCTCAAAACTGATTTTCTCCATGTACAGGCTAGCTTTTATGCTTTATTATTGATCATTATTCTAAATATTTTTACATGATTTATATTTTTCAGTTCAAAGTTTACAGAGTGTTTGTGTAGGTGTAACAATAAAGTTTTGAACAAATGTAACAGAATTATTTGAAACAGTGATGTGTAACCATGTTTGTTTGCCAAACTTGCAAAAAATAATTGCAGCAATAGTCAAAGAATATTTACATTAAGAATATGCTATTGTTTAGCAAAACCTTATCATTGAAATGTTTTGATCTCTTGAATATTTTTCATTGCTACTGCATTTTATTCTTCCTATATTGTCAAAAAATCAACTTTGTCAGGTAGTTTCCAATATCACTTTTGCTTTTGAGTGGATATAATCTTCAGAGACCTGAATCCTGATGCATGAAATTTTCTATACTGGAAGCTGTGGTTAGGATGAATTTTTTGCTTACATAGAGTATACCAGAGATCTCATTGAAGGTCAACTATTTTTCTATTTTATGATTCTTTCATTGAAAAATCATTATCTAGTTTGGTAATTTTTACAGATAACCAACTCACTGTCTTCTCACCATTGTATTTCTACAGCTAGTCTCTCTAAACAACCTTCTGACTTCATAGATCTGTTTTATGAAATACTTTAAAACAATTCAAATAACCCTTTTACCATTGTATATTACTCAGTTCAACATCCATCCATTACTGGAGACACATTATTCTTCCTATACAGGCTGTTTGACCACATCAAACCACCAGATTTCCAAATATTTACACCATATCATCTCTTCACCCTGTAACTGGTTAACTTCAGTTCTTGACAGACAAACTTGTGGTTAGTATTATAAGTTTTTCTTAAATTAATGATGTAATGTATGTAGGTTTGTTTGCTTTTATTTTTATCCTCAGGGTGAACAAAGAGGATGTCCAATGGAGGCTTCAGTGAGAAATGCTTGTGTGTAAACTGTAGTTTCCTATGATGAAGTTCTGTTGCTCATCAGGAGGAGAAGCAGGTCTTTATTCCACATCTTTTGTCTCTCATCTATGTGTATGACTATGTCTAGTTAAGCTCAATGCCATACATTCATATTGTTTCACAATTTATATGGACAAAACTAGAAGCTGTTGGTTTGGTTCCTTTTATTCCCAGATTTAAGGAGAAAGGTTGTACTGGGTCAGTCTTGTTCAGAATGATTTCTTGATATAATCTATTTACTCAGCTTCTAACAGTGTTTCATCTTCTTAGTATAGTAAAGTGAATGTCTTCAGTCACTTTATATTTTTTCCATTGTTTGACTGTGGTAAATGACCAAATAAATCAATGACTTTTTGAAGTGTCTCTTCAGTACTATAATTTGGAGATGATACACACCTCTTCACACAGAAACCTATCATCCTTGTGCATCTGCCTAAATTCACGAGATTTCTCATGATTTCTGCTGCTGCATAATGATGTTATTATGCAGCAAAAGCCTTTCACCAATAGGAGGGCAACACAACCTCCTCTGTGCTTTTGCACTCGTGATCATTAATTGTCCTTGGAACTGAATGTATCAGGTTACAGAGGCTTGCTGTTGATTAAAGGACTTTGTTTCTTTTATTATTCCACTTATGAACTCTCAAGTTCATGTACCTTCAAGTTCTAGTGTGAATGAGGAATATCCTCACACTAGTCAAGTTTTATACTTGGCTACTGGAGACCCATTAAACGTGGATGACATGACAGCCATTATCCATAGGGTAGTGGAATCCATTATGCAGTCAGGAGTTTCAGCACACGTCCATTCATCTGGGGGAGCATGAAGAGGATGATGACTTTGACCATTTGTTTCCTCCTCCTGATTATGCCTTAGGAACTTCTCTTCCTGTTGAAGAAAATTGTTAGGTTTCTCACATTATCAGGACCTTGTATCTCAAGTATGTTCTGTTCCCTCTCTTGTTCCTGTCTCATATGACACTTCCTGTTCCCTCCTTCATAACCCTAAGAAATTTTGTTTTTCTTCCTTCTCCTAATATTAGCATTCACACTACTTACTTTTATAGACCAGCTCCATTCCCATTTTTCGACCTGACATCAGGCTTCTCAGTGACTACTTAGCAGATTCACGTCTGGTGGCTTGTCTGTTGAGGTATGCACATCTTTTGGTACAACACTCTGCAGACAGACCAGTTACTATTGTTCTCACTCATGGACTTTCCCTTCAATTCTCCTTAACTCTCACTCTCAGCCCACACCCTGTTCAGTTCCCCTTCTTTCAGATCCCATCTATGTTCAATGCCTGAAAGATGCAGGGACAGATCTTTGGCACAAACAGGTCATAGAAATGGTATGCGACTCTTCCCTGGGGTTTCACTCCTGCCTCTTCATATTTTCTAAAAAAGATTGGGGACTGGTAGCTGATTATCAACCTTTCCTTCACGGTCGTCCCTCATTTTCATATGGAAAATTTGTTTTCCCTCAGGTGGGCATTTTCATCAGGACTATGAATGACCATGGTCAATGTCTTGAATGCATTCTTTGATATTTCCATCACAGAGTCTTTTGAACATTTCCTTTGATTCAATTATTGAGATCACATATTCCAGTTCTGTGCTCTTCCATTGGGAATTGCATTGGCTACTATGTCTTCAACAGAGTGGTCAGGGCCTCCACTTGCTATCTGTATGGGCTGGATCTACAATTCTACCATTACATGGATGATTGGCTTCTCCTGTTTCACTCGCAGGTGGAGTCCTCCCTTCACACCTCCATTCTTATGCAAGAGGTTGCCCATTTGAGTTGGCTTGTCAAGATTTTCAAATCCTTTGAAATCCCAATCCAATATCTCGTTCACTCTGGAGTGTTCTTCAACTCCCTTTTCAGCTGGGCCAAACCTTCTCTCATCTGCCTGCATGAGAGATTCTATATATTATTTTTGGGAACCATGGCTTCATTGGAGCCACTTATTCCTCTGGGTCTTGCTCACATACACCTCCTCCAATGGTCCTTGTGCAACCAGTAGAACAATTCGAGGGAACCTTTGGACTCAGTGGTTCTTCTGTCCCCTATTCTTCGCAAGAACCTTTTATAGTGGTTGGACTGCTCTAATACCACTGTTGGCATACCTCTACCCAAACCTCACTTACATTTTTTCACTGAAACTTCCCTCTCAGGATGAGTAAGATATCTAAACAACGTCCTCACTCCAGGCACTTGGACCCAGGATGAATCCTCCCTCCACATCAATGTGATCAAACTTTTGACAGTATGTGAAGCATTTATTTATTATTCACTCCAACAACTCAACAACTGTTTCCTAAATTAATGTAAGGGATACCAGATATCCAGGACCCTCTGTTTTCAAACCTTCGACCTCCTTTATAGGGCCCGTTCTGGACGGGTTTGCCTCACTGTCATAATCCAGGTGCTATGAACCTTGTTGTGGACTAGATTTCTCGGCCAGACCATGTCCTACCCACAGAATGGTCTCTTCACCTTCAAGTTTTCCAATAGGTATGTTCTCTCATGTGGACTCCTCACTTTGATGCCTTTGCCACACTTCTTAATTTCAAGCTTTTTCTTTTATAGTTTCCCATTCTTCATCCTTCAGACCTGGCTGTCAATGCTTTCAGCCATGGGTGGTTGCTTCTTTTTCTGTATGTTTATCTACCTCTCCATCCTTTACCTTGGATCCTGGCCTTGATTCGTGATACTCCTTGTTGAGTCATCTTAGTGGTGCCTCAATGGCTGGCTCAAACCTGGTTCCTGCTTCTTTGCCATTTGTCCCCTGTTCTCTTCTTCCTATACTACCCATATCCTCTCTTTTGCTTCAGCCTCACACATCTCTGTTCCATCAAGAAATTTTGTTTTCCATCTTCCTTTTTGGTAGAGTAACTGAAGAGTAACCTTTCTCCTTTCCCATTCTTGTTGTCCATCCACCTTATCCATCTACCAGCATAAGTGGCATGGTTTTTGGCATTGGTCCATCTGTCAACGCCTTCCTCCTGACAGTCCTAGTGTTGGCCATCTCTTCTCCTTCCTTACCTGGCAGTTTGACAAGGAATCAGCTGTCTCCACCTTTGCTGGTTATTGCATTGCCTTGTCTACCACCTTTCGTGATTTCGTAAATTTTCTTCCCAGGTTCTCACCAACTTGTTCTGGTTCTTCCTTTTCCATCAATCTCCCCACCCAATTACTATGCCTGATTGGTACCTCAATGTCATCCTGCATGCACTTACCCAGGCCCCTTATGGGCCACTGGCTTACCTGCTCCTTATACAACCCATTACGTAAGATCTATTTCCTCTTACTCTTTGCTTATGGTTGCCAGTGTTCTGATATTTATGCTCTGGACTCATCCCTTACCATTTTCCATCATTCATGTGTTCTTCTTTATCCTGACTGGTCTTTTCTCCCTAAGACTTCTGCAGCCAAGAAGAAGACCATTCTTTCTCTCCTATCTCCCTACCTTCTATTTCCCACTTTTATGGTCACTCTGACTCAGACCGCCTTTTGTGTCCAGTTTGAACTATAATTTATCTATCCTGCACTGCATCATTTCATGGCCCTCATCTTTACACATTTCTTTCAGGGGCCTACCCCATCTACCCTTTACAGGGTGGGTTCATCAACTGCTCAAATTGATCAACTCCTCCTTGGGGATCAATACTCACCAACTGTTCCATATTTCTTCTCTTCAGATCTGCTACCTAACCTCTTGTATTTGATGGCTGCTTGATGAGATCCTCCAGACAGGCATATGGACTACATCTCACAGCTTCATCACCCACTATCTGCAACATCTGGCTGTCTTATCCCCAGAGAGCTACTGCCTACCTCTTTTTGCTATCCTCTAGTCTATCCACCATCCTTAGCCAGGTGAGTACATCCTCCCTCATTTTTTTCGTAGCATCACTTCATGAATCACACCAGGTGAACTGATGCTGCCTCCCAGGATACACTTTTTCCAAAAATTCTTCATCAAGCTAGGATAACGGAAACCCCTCATACCATCTGTCCTGGTCCATATATACCCACTGTTGAGATGGAGTGTTCTGCAAGACCACTGGAGGTATCCTTATTGTATATTCTGATCTCTGTCTACTGTCTGATCTAGACCATACCTATATCATGGTCTAACATTGAAAAAACCAGCACCATGGGGTGCTCTGCCTGTTTCCCTGGCTGGTACTTGCTGGCTTTTCAAAATAGGTTTATGCAGTCACCAGTTGTACTGTCTCCAGTAAAAGACCTGTCTGGCAAATGACCTGTGGGGATAGGGCCATTTTCTAAGGGCTTTCCCACAGTAAATTGCTCCCCCTCTCTTCACATGGAGCAAGGGAGACCTTTACCAGTTAACAGTTCCTAGCTGTTTGGGTGGTAGACCATGGAGAACCCTCACTAATTGGAACCAAACAGCCAGGGGCTGAACAAATGGTGCCAATCAGTGGGAAGTGGGGTAGTGTAATGCAGGTCATCCCTCATATACTTATAACATGCCAGCATCCTCCATCCTACTGCTACCTAGATGTCAGTTCTCAGGTGGTCTGGTGTTGGATCGGCACAGGACCAGCCCACACAAGTCCTCACATATGAGGTTGGTAGGGGTCCTTCTCCTACCACAGACCAGATGAAAAATTCCTGACACTGACAGGTTCTTGACCAGAGTTGATCCACTATGTTTGCATTTTTCCTTGTTACCTTTGCCTGGATGTCAGGTTCCTGCATAGCCTGGAGTTGATTGTGTACTGGGACTGCACACATGTGCCCTGTCTGGGTTGTCCGAACAGAAGTTACTTTTCCCTTCTGCTTCCTGTTCATGAGGTGAAAACACTTAGGCCCCTTCTCCTACTATAGACCAGAAGACACATACCCAATGCTGCCTGGTTTTGGACTGGAGTTGACACACTGACTACCTACTATCATCTCCCATTTAGTTGAGGTGAGCACTTTCTAATAAATCTTGTCCTCCTTCCACAGCAGATGACTATTCTCTTGAAACAATGCAAATTCTAATATTTTACAATCTATGGCATGCATTCTGTGCACTCCTTCCACAGCCGGTGTCAATCCAGTGAGTCTCAGGTAGAGTTGAGGTATGCACTAGGTATGGTCTGAACACGCTCCAACCACACTACACATATTGGCTTTCCAACTTCTTGTGTGCAAGTGTGCAGATGGCCATGTTCTTATTCCATCCATACCCTTGACACATGGGACTTGTTTGCCTCTTCCTACCTTCTAATCTGGGTGACCAGTTTACGTTGGAGGAGATGAAATTCAGTCTCTCACAAGTGTTCCCCTATGGAGCCCCTGATATTAGGCGTCATACTTCATGGGTTTTCTACAGGCACTTTCTAAAGGGAGCTCATATAGGTAACTTTCGCACCAGTCCCTCCACCATATCAGCATGGGGTTCTAGCTCTCTGTATGCAGATTTGTGTATCATCTCGGAAGTTAACATTTTCCTTACCTGAAAATGTATTTCCAACAGATACTCACCTCTCACACACAATTCCCACTCTTCCTCTCCACTTCCAGTGCAAATTAGTTTCCTTGTTTCATCAAAGAATGATCATGAGTGCAAAAGCATAGAGGTTGTGTCACCCTTCTATTAGTGGAGGGCTTTTGCACAAGTCACCAGAAAACTCTTGATTTAGGTGGGAGTTGCCTATACTAGTGGCATGCAAATCTCCAAGGCAGATGCATGAGGATAATAGCTTTCAGGTAAGGAAAATGTTAACGTTTTTTAACTCTATAGGGTTTTCTTATTTTGAAGGGAAAGGGTTACATTCTTTAACGACAAAGGTCACAGATTTGGACAACTCCTCAAAAAAACCAGTAAAAATTCTGTTACAATGTATTAGGAAATTTAAAAATCAGAAAGTTTTTTGACAAATGTAAATTGAGTAATGTTAAAAACAACTATTCTTTGAGGCCTTTGTACCTTCTTATTTTTTGAGCAGGATGTATTCATATTATTTAAGAGAAATCCATTGAGAATAACTCACCTTAGTCTGAGAATTGTAAAGAGCTTATGTGTGCAAAGATGGTCTTTCATTACAAGTTCAGTACTATTTTCCCTAGTCTAAACATCTTGGAGTTGTTCCCTGGACCACTTAAAATCAGCACTCTCCTATCCTGTAAATACATTTGAAAAAGTTCAGCATACTTTATTTTAGGCTCACCTTATTTGCTATTAAAGACACTCTCGATGTTTATAATATCCCCAATCATCTTCACTATGAAGCCTTCTTGAGGATGCATTATCATTATGGTTTTATCTAGGATGGTGCACAAAATTAAAATTAAACTAATCAGTGTTTGTAGTTGACTTACTATCAGAATTAAATAATAATCTCAGTACTGCATAATCAGTCTAATCAAGCAAAAATGTTATTTTCAAGTGATTGTATGGATGTAGTAAAAAAGAAACAACTTTTGCTTTCTGTATTTCTGATGACACAGCTCCTACTACATCATTTATTTATGATTAATATGGCTTCACCCTCAATGTCACATCTGTATAAATGATTAATGATCTTCAAGTTCTTGATAGTAGTAAATACCTGTTCCCAATCTTCTGTCCAATGTCCAATGAGGTGAATAAGTCATATCAAAAAAGGACCAAACAAAATGCTATTAGTATAAGTTACCTAACTTCCATTATGTGTACTGGTTCTGTTGTGCTTCAGCATTTGAGTAACGTATAGATTACCCTACTTTTCTGATAATATTTCCAAATACTTGCACAGCAATGAGCTCATATTTCTGTGGGTTAAATTCCAGGTAATCCTTTAAGTAATAATCCATTACAGGCATAATGGAAAGTAAATAAGGTGGATTAAGACAATGAATGCACCATACTAAACCTGCTAAACTGCACCCCAATGATCTTTCAGTAATTATTGAAGACTTGCACATTTAAGGTGGCAGAAGCCCAACTTGCCATAGTCCATTACCTCTTGCAAGTTATGCTTTTTCTTTTTTAAATAGCCTTCTTTAATAATTTTTAAATTGGAAACTGTAGATTTTAAAAATATTAAACTTGATAAAAGATTATTTTGGTGAGTAAAATTCCCTTGAAAAAAAAAAACACAAATGACAGAGCTTGTGGAGAAAGTGGTGCCCACAGGACTGAAGTTGTCTATGAGCTTATTGTGGTCTTAATCAAACCTTGATCAAGCATAGTGCAGCTGTATTAAGTTTGTTTCAAATTAGTCTTGCATATCCTTTTTTATAGTGACAATCTTGGAATCTAAAGTCTCTTGGAGAACTGGGAGCCCCACACTGAATGGCTTCAATAACATATGTTCTTGTAATTCAGTGATCTCAACATAGAAAATGACTTCAACATCATTTGTGTGTGTGTGCATATACACATTAGTGATATGAAAAATCCTGTCCTGTATAAAAAGGTTAAAAAAGTTAATAAAACGTTTAGTACATAATGGTGGCTGTGTACATTACGCTATTATTTAAGCCTAAATTTATAGAAACATCTTTTTCCAGTTGTACAGTGTGATTGAGTTTTCTGTTTGAAACCATGGGAATATGACTAAAAATTCTAAGGATGGTATCATGTTGTATATGACTAATTAAATGCATTTTACCATCAAATTGTGAATATTGAATGACATATAAAATTTATTTTCTTTTTCTCATAGTTCCATCGTGGCTTAATGATTCTCAGTCTGTTTATGATGATTACTGCCTTGATTCTTATATTTGTGAAGGTTGGTGGATGGAGCCAGGTGAGTAGAATTTGTAGTTGTTATTTGTTTTAACTACTGATTGAATCCAAACAGAATAGTAGTGCACCAAAAAACAGGTAAGAAGGATGTCATAATTAACAGCAACCTGTGAAAGTATGTAAGCATGCTAAGAAAGGGTTTTTAAAAAGAAGTCTTAAGGAATTAGGAAATAAACAAAAAGTTAAACTCAACAACAAAATTGTCACTTTCGAGAGCTTTGAATTAAATATATAAAAACATAGACATGGAAAGATGTGTAATTTCAAAAACTTAGATCTGCATGGTTAGATAACAAAAAAGATTTAATAACTTTTTAAACATATAAATTGTCTAAAATAATGAAACATAACAGTATTTCCCACATCTGTTGAGCCACTCTATATAATTTCAAATTGCAGCCACTACATCTGTGGTATTTATTGATTTATATTGTGGATTTATATCTGTTTGGTTACAACTAATAATACTACAATAGTCCTTAAATTGTAAAATTTACTGAAATCTATGCTTATATAGTGTAGGTCTAAGAATATATGCTGTTAATACCACAACTATCTATTTATCAATCTAAGTATATATCTAACTCTCTACTGTATAAAGATGAAAAGCTGTCCGTCTGTCATGCCAACATCGCAGCTGTTGTGGTACCAATTGACACGCAACTCGCACAAAATGACAGAGCTTTCTGCTGTGACAAGCAAGTTTATCTTTTTTAAATTCTTCCAATTATATATATATATATAAAATGGACAATGCGCTACTTTGATCATATGTTTAGATTTGAGGGTGGGATGGTATAGATTGTGATGAATAATAAAATCAGACTGGGTATACACATGCCTCATGCTTGGTATTGCTGGTGCACAAAAATCATAATCATTGGCTTAAATTTCCCATTATGTTTGCTTGGTTGTCAAAGAGACACATTGATGCAACATCACCAAATTTTGTTCAATCAGTACCCTCAGCTACAACTGTATAATAATCTACATGTTTTACTCCTAGCACATTTCAATTTTGAAAATGCCCAAATTTATGCATGCTTTTTCAGTTTAGTAGGTTAACAAAGCCAAAACCAGGAAGACAGTCCAAAGAGAAGACTCTAAAATTCATAATAGTATTCACTGCTTTACCATCCCAATTAATAATTTGCAGGGTCATACAGTTGACGAAGTAGAAATATGTCTTTGAGAATTAGTTTTTTCACATATTGTAATGCATAAGGGTTTATCAGGAAGAAGATTTGAACATAACTTAAAAAATATACATAAGTCAAAATGCTAATTAAGCAATACTTAAAGGAGATGACCAAATATACATAAAATGTTGTTTTCATGAAATACTAGAAATAAGATAGCCATTTTCCATACATATATGGTTACTAGAGTATAATAAGTTTTTAAAAAACATGTTAATGAAACATTTACTTATATATAATTTTGACAAGAAAAATTTATCATTATTTCCCATCATATGGTGGGCATTCAGCTTGTCTAAATATATATAAATATCTGACTTTCCTAAAATCTAAATTTTATAACAAAGAGATCTGTCAATAAACTAATAGCAGGAATTAAGTCTTCAGTATGATGAAAAATATTGTTACGTCTCTGTTCATTTGTTAATTTTCCATAGAAATTCTTTCCCAAAAACTTCAGCGATACAAGTCCTTTCATAAATAAAACTAGTTTATTCTTTCTCAATACAACTTTGCAATACACTTAATTTCCACAGTCACTTTAACTTAAACACATGCTAGAATTCACAAAGATTCACTAACTTTACTTATGGCTTGACTCGATTATCTGTCTCTATATCTCTCTGTCTACAATTATCTCTGCCGTCATTTCTTGCCAGTCTTATATATACAAAATAGAGGGCATCTGGCAAACACTTGGACGTTCGACAGGTTCCTCGATCTTTCTAGAACTCCAGCACATGCTCTCAACGTCGCGCAACTTCTGCTGTCATAACAATATGTTTAACTATCATTACTACCCACAGAGTAGTATGGCTGTATTCTTTCCAAAGTTGCAACAGAATATAGCACAAAAAATGATTTCTAAAAATCTCAAACTAGGTTCCACGCAGTTATTATTAATGACATTTCAATAAAACAAAATACAATATTCCTTATGTTTATATGTCACACAGTAAATACAACTGTAGAGGACTAGATTCAATTATTGATAGATCCTACAATATCATGTGGGAAAGTTTAATAGCCAGACCTATGTGACTTTTCAGTAGCCAATATATTGTTGCGTCAGCGAGATCACGTGACCATTGACATGCCACCTGCTTTCTAGAAGTATCTTGTTCCTTCGTGAATGCCCTAGCATTTACTAGATATATGTTTGTCTGGTATATAAATAAGACGCTCACAACGTGACGGAATAATGTGTGTGAAGGTAATGAGTAATTGAACTGCAGTCAGAGAGAGACGTATTGTTGAAGTGAATTATAATTTGTTATAGCGCGAATGTTGAAAATAAGTGTATCGGTACAGTTATATTCAGAAAGAATAAACCAGTTTTATTAAGAAAGGACTTGTGTCGCTAAAGTTTAGTCGGAAAGAAGTTACGGAAAATCAATTAACAAACGGAGACGTAACAAATTGGTGTCAGAAGTGGGATGGAAAAAAAATGGAAACGAGAGGCGGAAAATCAAACTACAGCTTAGCAGACTTGATGGCAGCAATACAAGAACAGCAAAAGAAACAAGAAAAGAGACAACAGCAGTTGCAAGAAAACCTGCAACAATGGCAGCTCGAACAACAAAATAAACAAGAAAAGAAACAAGAAGAACGAGAAATTAAACAAGAAGAGAGATTACAGCAGTTGTTAGAGGAAAAAGAAAAGAAACAAGAAGAACGAGAAATTAAACAAGAAGAGAGATTACAACAGTTGTTGGAGAAAAAGAAAGGAAACAAGAATAACGAGAAAAGAAACAAGAAGAGAGATTACAGCAGTTGTTGGAGGAGAAAGAAAATAAACAAGAAGAGAAATTACAGCAGTTGTTAGAAGAAAAAGAAAAGAAACAAGAAGAGATCTTAAAGCAGTTGTTAGAGGAAAAACAAAAGAAACAAGAAGAAAGATTACAGCAGTGGCAAGAAAACCTACAACAATGGCAGCTCGAACAGCAAAATAAACAAGAGAGATTACAGCAGTTGTTAGAGGAGAAAGAAAATAAACAAGAAGAACGAGAAAAGAAACAAGAAGAGAGACTACAACAGTGGCAAGAAGTACAAATGGAAAACATAAGTAAATTTAAAAGCAAATTAGATACGTTAAAGGACGACTTTTTGTCTTTTACACGAGGAGGATACATTGACCATCGACTTAATCAGCCCCAGACAAT